TAAATGAGGTCATTTCTTCTTTCTCCGTCTTTCTCCGTCTTTCTCCGTCTTTCTTCTTCTGACTTACTTCACTTAACCTGATACCTTTCAGTTCCAACCATGTTGCAGCCAATTGCATGATTTCATCATTCCTTGCAGCTGTGTAGTATTCGTGTGTGTGTGTGTGTGTGTGTGTGTGTGTGTGTGTGTCACATGTTCATAGTCCATTCATCTGTCATTGCCATTCTCATTGGTCAAAAGTAGTAATAATAACACGTGGTCTCAATCCATGATTGTATTTAAGAACAATTTCAGGGAACCCTAAGGGCATTCTGAAAGGAATCGTCTAAGCTTTTAGGCAGTCTAAAGGAAAAGCAGGTCCTGACCCCTCTCCCAACGTGACAGCAATGAGGGCCATGCTTGCCCACTGACCTGGGACCCCACCACCACCTTCAGACATAGCCCCAGAGACCAAAGTGGAAGTAGAAAATGACTTTGTTTCATCCAGTCCTTTTTCCGATCAGCTCCCATCCCTCCGTGGCTGGTGGGCAGCATTTGTAAGTGCCCCAGTCACTCTGGGCTTGTAAAGCCCATGCACCAAGCAGCCAACCTCATGCCACTTGTATGCCAGCCCTCTCCACCCTGAAGACTTAAAGTCCATGGAGATTCTGTTTCTTCCTGGCAAGGAGGCATTCTACTTACTCTGCCCAGCAGTGTGGTACAAGGATGAGCACAAAGAGATGAGATCCGCTCACTCCCCCTCCCTCTCAAAGAGTGACATCATTCTAGAGCCCTCCTCCCTGGGGCAAGTATCCTGCCCAGTCTTGCTGCTAAGACAGAACTGAACCCTGCATTTGGGTGGTTCTGGGCTCGACCTCATCTGTGGTCCACACCCGCCCTCCTGCCACAGACTGATGGCCGTGCTCAGAACTGCTTGTGTCTTCAGCTCACTGTCTGTCCTTCTGCACAGGCTTCTCTCTCATCTCTCTGGGATGCATTCCGTTCTCCCACATGCACCCTTACTACACACATCCCATTGGCGAAGCTCTCCTGCTGCCCACACAAACTCAGTACTTCCTGTTAATTGTTCTTTTAAAACCTTCTTATTTCCCCACGTAACCCTGAGTGTAGCTGTCATGGTGTTGTGATTCAAGTCAGCATCCTCTTCTCTCCCATGGACTGTGATTTCTGTAGGGCAGGAGTCATGAGCCCTTCTGATTCCTCAGCACAGGGCGTCCTGTGGGATGACACTGGGTGTACAGCTGAGATGAATGAAATGTCACCATACAGGCTGTTCCTCTTTCTCCATCATGCAAGCTAGGCTTTGCATCTGGATAGCTCTAAAATGCTTTTGAATTATAAAAAAAATGTTCTCTTATAGTAATAAAACACCTTACATTCAAATCTTCCATCATGGATACTAGGTGGAATGCATTGAATTATGGTAAACAGGAACATATAAGATACTATTTCTTTTGTGCACTGAAAGTTAAGTTTACTCATGAGTCAAATCAGTTCACCCATATTCACTGAGGATGTGCCATCTCCTGGAAACACTTGTCAGCTGCGGAGAATCTGAAACTGAAAGACACGGTTTCTGACATCAATAGGGAAGCTTGGCCGAAATGCTACTTCAGTTTTCCAGTTTGGTTTTGTTTGTGGCCTCATCCAGCTGTGCTTGAACAATCTGCCCCCAAATCCCTGTCTGGTATCTCCAGAGTCTGCTCCTGGCTCTGTGCTCAGGAATTACTCCTGCCAGGACCATATGGGGTGGTCCATGTGGGGTGCCTGGGATGCTGCTTCACATTCTGAAAGCATATTCTTTTCCTGCTCTACGATGGTTTTGACCCCCCCAGTTTTCAATGTTTTAAAATTATTTTTTTATTAAGGCACTGTGATTTAAAAAGTGTTCATGATAGAGTTTTAGTCATAGAATGTTCTGACACCATCCTTGGAATCCTTGACCCCCAAAGAAAATATTTACTTGAAAGGCCATCTGAAGACTATTGTTAGTGTTCTGAGTTTCACTGTCTGCCTGCCTTCCGCCCATCTTCCTTTTCTTTTTGTGCATATTAATCCAAAGTCCTAATATCGTTTCTAAGAACATGACTTCTAAGTTCTGTATTTTAAGCATCCAAATTTGGAGGAGGGATGCAGCTCAGAATGCTGGTGCATAAGGTTCATGCTAGGCCGACAGCCCACCCCACACAAGCCCTGTGGCTTAGAGGTGCGATCCTTAGCCCCTGGCATGAAAACACTCGTCTGCACACCCAGGACTGGCATCTCTAAAGTTGTGCTCAGTCCTCTCCCCAGACAAAACTCCAAATTTAACCCAAGAGCAAATTTTGTGGAGTGGTTTTGTGTGATCCTTGAGGAGAATTTCTAGAACCCTAGTTGAGCACCCCGTGAGTTTGGTTAAAGATTGCGTGCAGCCCTGTGCGAAAGCCAGTCTCCTCCGGCTCCCAGCACCAGCACAGCGAGCAGAAGACACTCTCAATATGAAGGGAGGGACTCTCACGGACCCCACTGTGTCTGTGAAGCAAGGGCTGTCTGCTCCTAAAGTCATTTCACTTCCTCCCTGGGCAGTGGTTCTCCCCTTGGTTCTCTTCTCTTCTGGGGTCAACTCCCGAGAGCCCTGGGGGTTGTCTAGTGTCACCTTCTTGGCTGCTGCTCTCGTGAGGGTTGGATGTCGCCCCTGGAGCTGCTCTCTGGGGCTGCAGACCCCTCCCACACTGGACTGGCACCAGGAGTTACAGTGTCTCTGCCAGTGGGCTGGAACCTGGGTCAGAGCAATGAGGCGGACTGGTCCGTCCCCTCAGCTGGCCTCTGCACACATGCCCCACATGCACAGTGACTTCACTGCTTCCTCCGGGAGCATTTGGGTCTCCCAGTGGGGGCCATGTGGTAGGCTGGTCTGGCGCCCAGAGAGAGCCCACTTGGAAGTCTGAGTGTCGGCCAGGCAGAGAGTGCAGAGGTTCGAGTACAGCCCCGGCTCAGCTCCTGATGCTGCTTTCCCCGGAGTATCTTCCCCAAGCACTGCTGAGTGTGACCCACAAGCAAGAAAAAAAGAGACAAATGGGCAAGCCTCTCTCCCTGTCACCAGGTAACAGGGCAAGCCTCTCTCCCTGTTACCTGGTGAGGGACAGGACGGGAGTGTCCTTTCCCTGTGCATGCTACTAAGCGGTGTGTTCTGAAGATTGAGAAAGTACTCGCAAAAGCCTCATTTATATTAAAGCATATACAAAATGCAGCATGGCCACAAAACCAAATTTCCTCAGAGATCTATCATGTGACCCTTAGGTCAAATACTCAACTTACTTAAACTTGGTCGAAATTAAGACGGTTGGCTTCCTCTGGTGCTGTGAGAGATTTCTCTAGGTTCCGATGGGAGTGCAGTGAATCCAGATAACTATGTCAGAAGCATTCTTTGAATCCATGATAAATAAAAGGAAAATGCATATCCATTTCAAAGAGATGGAAAGTACCTTAGAAATGAGCTACTCTGGTCCTTGATATTTTGTCCAAGAGATGAGACTTGGACATTCACGTGTGGTCACTTAGTCCTTGTCTTCAATACCTCCTTCCTCTGTGATGCTCATCAAGCAGAAATCCTACCAGTCAGACTAACTGTAGATAGCACTAACTAAACATGCTTTGGGGCTTTATGCTCCTGATGATATGTGTATGTGAAAGTGTGTGTGTGAATATATGCGAGTGTCTGTGTGTGTAATGTCTGTGAAAGAGTGTGAGTGTATGAGTATATGTACATGAGTATATGTGTGTGAGAGTGTATGAGTGTGTGTGTGAGTATGGGTGTGTGTTTAAGTGTGTGAGTATATGGGTTTGTGAATGTATATTAGTGTGTGTTAGTATGTGTATGTGTGTGTTCATTCTCTTTCTGCCCCTCAGCCAGGTCAGAGTGTGTGAGACCTGGAAAACTCTACTTTGCACATTAGACTTGACTCCCCTGTGGTAGATAAAGAATAGCAACGGCCCAAGAGGACCCTGTGCATGCTCTGTTTTGCTCTCCAGTTGCCCTTTGCTACACTTTTTATGGGATACCTTGGATTCCTCCAAATAGTTAGAAAGTACGCATACACAAAGCAAAATCACTCAAGAAAAATACTAACTAGAACACAGTGATCTGTAATATAATAAAGTCATTGTGTGATATTTAGAATTTAAGCTCGGACACTCCCCCCCCGCCCCCCCCCCCCACACACACATGTCATTTTTACTGAGATACCATTATTCAGTGCAGATAAGAGTAGCTTCATGGGGGCTGGTTTCCTCCCATCATCTGGGTACCCGAGGTCCTCTGCCGTGATCCCAAAGATCCTCCCCCAGATCTGCCCTCCATTCACCTGCCCCCTTCAGTTCTGCAGAGAGACTCTCCTTTGACTTCTTGTTGTTCCCATACTATGTTCTTTCCATCACACATATGGGAGAGATCTTTTTATGATTGTGGAGATGGTGACACTTACACAGATACAAGGAGTATTGAAATTCCAGAAAACTGTAAATCAGTAAATTGCTAAAATATGCTTTCAAAAGATACCTTTGTTTTGACAGAAATATAAATTAAAAATTAATAGTATGGGTCATTCTATGTTAATATATTTTAGAATTCACATGAAGTGAATAAATCCTACAAATATATAATTTAGTAAGGCAGAAGCAAAGGGAATTAAAAAAACTTGAAGGAAATCTGAATAAGTGTATAAAAATATAAAAGTATATTTATGGCCTGGAGTGAGGTCAATAGGTGGGGTGTTTGCCTTGCACAGGGCCAATCCGTGTTCAGTCCCGAGCATCCCATAGAGTCCTGAGACCCCTAGGAGTGATCCCTTGTATAGTCAGGAGTAAGCCCTGAGCATCGTCGGGTGTGGCCCCAAAACAAAACAGCACACACAAAAAAATTACTTTACTTTATAAAAGTTGGGAACTTTTTGCACTTCTGTTGCCTTCAGAAATGAGTGATGTGTTTTCTTTTCATTTCTCTCACTTTGTCCACTCTGCAGCATATAAATAACGACCATATCCATGGAGAGAAGAAGGAATTCGTGTGCCGGTGGCTGGAGTGCTCGAGAGAGCAGAAGCCCTTCAAAGCGCAGTACATGCTGGTGGTGCATATGCGGAGACACACAGGGGAGAAGCCCCACAAATGCACTGTGCGTGCCCGCGGCGGCAGCGGGTGGGGGGAAGCCGCACCATGCCCTGTGTGTGCCTAGCAGTGGGGTCCTGTAGGGGCAGCCCAGCTCTTGTTGGGCACATGCGGGGCATCTGGAGGATCTGGTGGGGACTGGAGCGGTGCTGAGGGACCCCTGAAAGGGAGAGCAGGCCAGCAGGTGGTCTTGAGGAGATGGACGCCTGGTGGGAAGGCAGCAGTGCCTGAGCCCCCTGAGCAGCGCCAAATCTGCTATGTAGAGCTGAGACCCTAAACCTCTGCTCAGTTAGCCTAAACTCCCCTTGGACCACTTTGGACTTGTGTCCAGAGCAACCAAGGCCCAGATTTTTAAAACTTCCTTTAATTCAAAAGCCCAGAATATGGCTGGAAGACCCATGCTTGGCCTGCGGGAGGTACCCTTGAACACTAGCAGGAATGGTCAGAAAGTAAACCAAAACAAAAGAAAATGAAGCGGAATATAATGACAGCCAGATTTATAGATAATATTTGAATTTAAAAACAAATTGGGGGGGGGGCAAGAGCAATAGTATAGCAGGCAGGGCATCTGTCATACCTGGGACCAACAAGGGGTCAACACCCAGCACCTTGCATGGTCCCTCAGCCCTACAATGAGTGATTTTCCAAGTGCAGAGTCAGGAGAAAGCCCTGTGCACTGCTGGTATCATCCCTGCAAGCAAAATCAAAACACAAATATTTTGTTTTGCTTTGGGGCCCCACCTAGCAGTGCTTATTCCTGACTCTGCACTCTGGACTCTCTACTGAGGCATCTTGGGAGACAATATGCAGTTCTGAGAGCAAACCAAGATTTTTTTCTGCCAACAAGGCAAGCACAGTTCCTGCTATACTATATTCATGGCCACAATATTTAAAATTTTTTTTCATGTTTTTCAAGTATATCAAATATGCACAAATAGAAAGGACATATTTCTAGGAAAATGCTCTTTCAGCTTAAAGAATGTCCATGTAGAGTCCCACATGGCATTCAGCTGCTATGTGCAGAGTGGCTTACCAGCCTCTTAGACAGATCAGGGTCATTGTACCTGTCACCACACACATGCCTCTCACCCGAGGGCTTGCGAGAAGAGCTGCAGAAGATCAGCCTATTTGGCTTTAGAGTTTTTCTTTCCCCCAGCATTCACTCAAGAGGTGTCACCAAGCACCCCATCCTGGGCATGGCTGGTCTCTGTACTTTGCATCTTAAAGACTCTTTACAAACATGCTCAGATTCTGTATCTTTGTGTGAACACAAAGTCATAGTAATGAACTTTGTGCTGAATCTGAAATCACTGGGGATTCAAGGAGATCAATGAGCAGATCGTGAAATCCTTTGTCCACAGTGAGTGGTCTGTTTGAATACACACATACACATACAACTCCAGGACTTTTACTAGCTCTGAAAATGGTTTCTCTTCAAGGGTCCTGAGCCCTATCTGAATCCCAATGAATGCAGTTTAGTGGACTTTTGTTCCTCGGTTTTAAAAAGCTGCTGACCCTTGAAATATCAGTCTTCTGTCAAGTTGGAGTGTTGGGGATAAGCTGTCGCTGTATTGAGTAATCCAGATTTACCTGCTCTCCTCAGTTTGAAGGTTGCACAAAGGCCTACTCAAGACTAGAAAACTTGAAAACTCACTTGAGATCCCACACTGGAGAGAAACCGTATGTCTGTGAGCACGAAGGCTGCAACAAGGCTTTCTCTAATGCCTCAGATCGTGCCAAGCACCAGAACAGAACACATTCGAACGAGGTAAGTAGCTGCGGGTTGGAGCAGAGACCTCCCTCACCTCTTCTCTTGCTCATTGCCAGTACGAGTAAGCACTGATCTGCAGGTGAAGGTGGAGCCTCAGAGGTTGAGTCAGGTCAGGAGAGTGATGAGAGCCAGGGGTTTTCCCGAGCCTGGACAGCCAGGTTCATGTTGCATAGACTGCCACCTGCCGGCCAATCGTGGAAGCCAGCCGTTAGGGTTTGCTCTGCTTGCAATCGCTTGGGTCAGTGCACAAGATGAATTCAGAAGCAGCATCTTGGCAGCTGCTGACAGCTTCCTGCAAAGACAGCCACTTTCTCTCACTTGCTCCAGGTGGTATCTTCAAATGCATTCGATCAAAAAAGACAGTTACAGAGCAACTAGTCTTAACTAGAGATGATTTCCAGACATTCCAAATTCCAAAGGATCCCAGAAGCTATTCTCAAGAATCCCAGAATTCTTGTTTCTAGCCAGTCATTTAAGCTTCATGGTCTAATGTGGTTCCCATTGCTTTGTTGTTTGTAGGTCATCGTACCCCCACATTTCCTGAGAGTTATTACCCATTCTACATGCATTTTTATAAAAGTGTGTGTGTGTGTGTGTGTGTGTGTGTGCGCGCGCGCGCGCGCGCGCGCTCCTTCCTGTCTCTCTGAGGTCTGACTCTCCTGTGTAAGGTCTTCACTGAGTGAGTGAGACATTAGCAAGGGATTGATGGTGAGATGGCACAGGTACCATTGCACGCTTCTATCATATGCAAGACCCTGAGTTTGATCCTTGGCACCAGCACCAGATGGTGCCCCTAAACATTGCCAGGTGTAGCCCTGGCCTCTGGGACTATTTCACTGTCGGGGTAGCCCCAATGTCCCTGAGCACTGCTGGTCTGGGGCACTGGCCGTCCCAGACCTGAGCATTGAGCTGTTAATTCTACCACCATTGGAGTTCCCCCACACCTTCAGAAAAAAGGATTATGAAAGTCTGTGCTCAAAGGAGGAAAAGGAAGCAGATGAGAAGCACCAGGGGGCAGGGGGCAGCAGAGCCAGGCACAGGGGTGGCATCCGGGAATGACTGAACTAAGTACCCAAACCATACAGTCAACAGCACTGAAATGATGAGACCCAAACTTCAACAGCCAAGCTTTCAAAGGTTCCTTTGAAAATGCAGACTTAGGGGTGGGGTGGGCAGTGGTCCTGGGGACACTGATGGAGGGACATTGATACTAAAGGTGGGAGTATGTGCTGGAACTTTGGATATATAAACCCAATTATGAATAACTTTATAAATCACGATTCGTTAGCAAAATAAAGTCATTCCCCCAATTCAAGTGCAAATGGGAGACTTACCAGAATGTGGTTCTGTGGGCCAGCTGCCATGCAGTGTAGAAAGAGTGCCCCTGGACCTTGGCAGGATGGGCATCTGACAGGGCGGCAGTGGAACCCATTCATGGCGTTTGGGCCAGACATTATGAGAGAGAATCTGGTAAGGTTAAAGCAACCTTTCAGCTGTCACTGCTTTGGGAGGTTGAGGGGCAGGGCGGGGGGACGGTCTGCACTAAATTTCCTTTCAGCTGAACCCACAGAGCAAACCCACCCCTCATGGGATGAACCACACTCTAAAAAGCACACTTACTCATACAAACTCCTTTTGAAAAGGTTGTGGTGGAATAAGGAGATCTAAACCATTGAAATCTCTTATTGAGCAACAGTTGGAAGATATTCAAGAGAGAGTCTACAGCTCCGCTTCTCTACCAAAAATGCATTTGCTATAGATGCTAATTGTAGTGTGATTCAGTGTGCTTGTTTTATACTTGTTTTGTACAGACACTAAGAAATTCACAGAGGCAGACGGAGACTAGTGATTGCTAGAATCTGGTGGGAAAGAATGTAGGTGACTTTCTCTGTGGTTGAGTAATTCACTGAATTATTACTGACCATAAATTATCCATAAGAGTTAATTAACAAATAATTGGGAACAAATAAAATATTTTTCTCTAGGTTTTGCCTTTGGCTTTGAATGATGGGCAGTTTTATATATACAAAAAAATTAAGCTTGTCCTGGAAATCCAAACTTACGTAATTCAAAAATCCTACAGAAGACCTAGATATTTCCTTTCATTTATTTCATCTCCTCTTTGTACTTTCATTCATCCATTAAACAACTATTGAGAGCTGGTTATATGCCAGACACTTTGCTGTCTGAGATGTAAAGAATAATCCAGTAGAACAGGCAGGAAAGAAGGAGCTTCCACGGGAGCAGGGAGGAAGCTCTGGTGGCGGGTCCTGTTCCTCCCGAGCCCACATCAGGCCACTGCCGTGGACTCAGATTCCACTGTTGCCCATTCTCCAGCTGATGCCCAGCCCCCTCTCTCCTCTAGGAAACATAACGGCTTCCTCGGTTTGCGCCTGTTCTTACTGGGCTGTAGCCAGCCTCGCAGTCCTGAGGAGCAGAGTCACATGTCATGGCTCCGCTGAGAGAACCTGTGCTTGGACTGTGTGCTGGCGTGTTCTGAGCTGAGCCTGGCATTGGGTGTCAGTCTCTGAGAACTGTCTTATCCTCATCTGTTTACCTCAGAACCTTGCCCTTTTAGGACTTAACTACAATGCTCCTTCATAAGCAAAGTCCTGTTAATAATAATAACGAGCACTTATTATGTGCAGCACAGCATGGCAAGCACTTCATGCCCATTGTTTAGTCCTCTCCCAGGCTTTGTGATGTGGCACTATATCCAGATACAGAAACTTAACAACCAGAGTCAACTGTGATTATCCCAAGTAAAAAATATTCCTCCGCTAGCATTCCTACAGTGAATAAGAATTCACTGTCTTCTTTTCCTCACATATTTTAGATTCCTGAAGAATATAAAATCCGTGTAATTAAGTTTAACTTTACAGAATAGCATATACTATAGATCACTAAATTCTTATTTAAAATCTATTTAGATAAATTCTACAAAATTAAGTAAAAAAATGTAAGTTGCTTTCACAAAGTATCTATTTAGTGAGTTCAAAAAGTTGAATTTCCAAGATAGGAAACATAGATATCTCACTAAGACTGACAATATTCAATGAGCCTAACAATACTTATCTTTACTACAGTTGTATTTAATTTCCATCATTGATCACAACAAAACTTGGAGGATCCAACTATTTGACTGAATCAATGTATTTTGTGGTAAAGCAATGTTACCCAAGGCTAAGCTATTGTGTGTTTTGCTGTGGATAATATACAAACAGAGGGTTCATTTCATTCAGTACCATTTTGTTACAATATTTATAAGAGAAAATTCTATTTGATGTTGAATAAAATGACAATAGTTAATAATCTGCTTTTGTTTCCCTTATAACCTGTTATGATATTAAGTAAGAACTTCTTGTGCATGTTCACACTCTAGTGCTTGTGTGTAGTTGTGTCCGTAGGAACTTGGGACTCATGACCTTTCCTAGACTTATTCCTTCCCTGTCACAATGTCAAGAATAACCTCATAGACACATGCCTATGCTTATGAGGAAAATGGATTTTGGACCATGTAATGCTGCCCTGATTTTGCCTCCCCCACATCCCCACCTCCCTGCCCACAACTGCGAACATCCCAGCCCCCTTGCTCATACCACAGGCTGTCACCATAGGGCTAGAGCGGTGAGCAAGCACAGGGCCCATCTCAGTACTATGCAGTAATAGCTGTAATCGCTGTAGCTCTTCTGTCCCTAATGCATAGAATTTGATGCAATATGCTGCAAATCACATGAGCTCCTGAAAGAAGGCATTCATAGATAATGGAAATGAATTCCACCTAGAAGAATCCAGGGTTTGCAGGCAATGTGTCTCAGGATAATTTTGGATTCTTTGCTTCACTACATTAGGACATTTTATCATTTTATGGAGCGCTCCATCGATTCTTAGACTGTTTGTGGGAAAAAAAGCACCTTTTAGACATATGCATTCTACGTACTTTGTTTCAACTAGATTCCTTCATCATTCTTTTCATGACATTGCTTACCTAATAGCTCATCTTCTGCTATATTTGATGTTTTAACATATATACCCACACAAAACATTCATTAATATATTATATTTCAAGCCAAGTAAATAATCACAGTGCAGCTCTTAGTCATGTAAAAGTAAATACCAGCCATTCTACGATTTGAGTAAATATTCATCTATAAACATTCAAATAACTTTGGATGACTTCTCTCTGCAACCGTGCTCACCAGCTCACCCAGAAAGGGATATTAGCAAGCAACAATTTATATACCTTAATAGTATAAACTCAGAAACAGTTTAGATGAGTCAGTCTAGTTCCCAGCACCACATTATCGGACACTTTCAGCTTGAAAGTGAGCACATTCTTTTTTTTTTTTTTTTTGGTTTTTCTTTGGGATCACATCTGACAGTGCTCAGAGCTTACTCCTGGCTCTGTGCTAAGGAATTACTCTGGGAAGTGCTTGGGGGACCATAGGGGCCGCCTGGAATTGAATCCGGGTCAGCCAAGTGCAAGGAAAATGCCCTACCTGCTATACTGTCTGTCTGATCCCACATTCATTAATTTGAAGATCTGAAGTTTTCTGGGTATTTTGATACCTGAATATGGCCACTCCAGAGCACTCGTGGAAAGAGGCTGTGGACAGCTATTTTTATCATGTCTGTGGGAAAGGGGACATTTTAAAGTGGGTATGAGATTAGATTCAAGATCCAAGATGCCATGAGAAATTCCTTCGTGTTAGCACTCCTGACAGGCATGATCATGGAGGTGAAATCATGGGGTTCTTCTCAACCTCACTAGCTTTACCATCATCATCCTCATACAAATATGTATTAAGCATGTACCATAGCATGAAAATACATCTTCTCACGCATAGAATTCCCAGGGACAACATGGCAGTTTGCATAATATTGACTCTCTCTAAGCACTTTCTAAAATAATAATTAATTGGACTCTGTCCATTGTTCACAATGGGCCATTATTAAATCTTTATCAGTATTTGAACACTACAGTATCTCCTGAAAGTGCTTTGAAAGAAGCAAAGATCTTGGACTGAAGAGATAATGTAGGAGCTAAGGAGCATGCTTGGCATGCAGCAACATATCAGATCCCCAACACTGTACAAGGGTCCCCCACAAGCACCAAGACCGAACCTCGAGCACAGCATTGAGAATAAACTTTGAGCACAGCTGGGGTTGGCCCCAAAGCAGAAAGAAGCCAAAGTCTAATGAGGCGGCAGAAAAAATTATTGATGACTTTCATTTAAAAAATAAATCAATCAAAAAAAATAAATAAATCTCTCTCCTCCTATGTGACTGGGCAGAAGCCGTATGTGTGCAAGATCCCAGGCTGCACCAAGCGCTACACAGACCCGAGCTCCCTCCGCAAACACGTGAAGACAGTGCATGGCCCTGAGGCTCACGTCACCAAGAAGCAGCGTGGAGACATTCATCCTCGGCCCCCGCCACCACGAGATCCTGGCAGCCACTCACAGTCCAGGTCGCCTGGCCGGCAGACTCAGGGAACCCTTGGGGAGAAGGACCTCAGCAACACTACCTCAAAACGAGAAGAATGCCTGCAGGTGAAGGCCGTCAAGGCAGAGAAGCCCATGGTATGGCATTCACTTTCCTTCTGAGGCCCCCAACAGGTCCCTTAGACAGCTGGGCGCGTCAGTATGGTTTCCTGGCTGACTCGAGAATTGCTTAGAGCCAGGTCACTTTGTGGGAGTAGAAAGTTGAGTGCATCTTCGGAGTCTGTATTGCAGAAAACTGTTCATTCGCTCTTTTTGGACTGTGTGCTATGTTTTGCTTTGGGGACCCCAAACTAGATAAGTCCCTTTCTCTATTCTTTTAAGGAGGTGCAGTCAGAGACACAGACAGACCATCCCCAAACAAATACTTCTGGCTGAGTGCTCTGGGTTTTTTCATGAAGCTTGCGTAAGAGAGAAATTCAGAGGAGAAATGCCACAAGTGCTCAGGGCAGTTTCTGCATGCTGAATAATAAATATTGTGTGTCCATATAGGCACATAATATTGTACTAATTTGTGCTATTCATCAACCTCACAATATGGACAACCAAAGATGTCACTGAGCTCAGAGTCAGTCACAAACTGAGGGCAGTGCGAGGTCCGTGTCAGAGAGGGTGGAGATAAGGACTATGTGTCTTGAGCAATGGTGGCCATGCAGATGGCTTGGAAAAGATAGCTCCATTGCCAGCTGGCCTGAGAGATGGTAGACCATTTCCTTGGTGGTGCCTGTACGAAGAGCTGGAGAGTAGGGAGGAATTTGAAAGATGTCAAAGAGAAATATTTATGGTTTGGAGATGCAAGAAATATTTATGGTTTGGGTGCAAGGATTGTGCTGCTGTCACTGCTGCTTTCACAGTTCAAGTATGTGCTATTAGATGTAATTTTTTTAATTCCCAAAAGGAAACCACAAGAATGAAAAAAAAAAGTAGCTATTAGGGAGATTCCGTACATGTGCATACAGTGTATTATGTGTAATGGGCTGTATGTATAATGAATTCAGCTCTGCAGGATGTGCTGGGCTCCAGCCTGACATTCTTCAGAGAATAAGCTGAATGGACCATATAGAAGCTACATGCTCAGGATTTGGGAAGCATGAAAGTGATAAGGCAGACGAATACACCCTCAGTTTAAGGAAATCTTTGCATAATGAGAAAAGTTTGGCAGTTAAATGTAGATATTACAAATTTGGGAGTGAAATTCTTGATTGTGCAGCAATACACTTGGGTGAGAAGTAGCACCGGCAGAACTCAGGCATCAGTGGGTGGGAAGCAGCATTCTGATGAGGCCTAACTTTTGCTTTGGAACTCTTAAACTTCTTTTTTCTTTTTTGGGGGGTCACATCTGGCAATGCACAGGGGTTACTCCTGGCTCTGCACTCAGGAATTACCCCTGATGGTGCTCGGGGGGACCATATGGGATGCTGGGAATTGAACCCGGGTTGGCCACATGCAAGGCAAATGCCCCACTTGCTATGCTGTTGCTCCAGTCCCTGAACTCTTAAACTTCTTAAGACTCAGTCAAAGCTATGAAAATGAATTATTATCTCTCATTGGGTAGCTATATTTGCTTTTAGAAACTACTCAATAAAATGTGCATGCATATATATGTTATATGTGCATGCATATATATGTTATATATATGCATACATATATACATATACACACATAAATATACATAGGTCAAGTGTCTGCTCATAATACTTTTAAATTAATCAATTCATGAACTGTATTCTATATCTTTTTTTGCTGGATCACGTATCTGTTTTCTAAACTTAGGATCATCTATATAAACAGTTTGTCCTCAGGAATTTAATGATATAACAAAAGTTATTTGTGGTATACTAGACTGTATCTTTGAAAGGCAATGATTTTTGTTCAATCCTAAGAACCCAGAATCTCTTATTCTCTTGATGTACATCTCCAGCTCAAGATGGAGACTTCTTCAAATATGCATTATTTAAACAAAAAAAAATTTAATCAAAAATGAAGCAAATTTGTTTGACTCAGTGACATAGGCGATGCCCTAACATGTGGATTATTTTATAAAGTAATTAAATCATGAGAAGATGCCTGGAAGTGAAAATAGTGAATGAGATTGGGCCCCAACCTTTCCAGGTGAGAAAAGAGATTCTGTGAGGTTGATGAATTGCACAAATTAGTACAATATTATGTGCCTATATGGACACATATATGACTGTGGGTAGATATATTCATAAATATTAATGTACTTTATGTCTACATTCTTTCTTAAAATATATTATTCTTTAAAATCAGTACTTCTTTAAAATTAACATTTAAAATTTTATCTTTGATTTGATCATTATGCTATGAATTAAATTCTTTCTTCTTTTTTCTTATTAATCCAACACCTCTTCTGTGTAATGAATGCGCCTATATGTCTTGTTCTCACTTCCTAAGGACAGTGGGTAATAAGGTGAGGGAATTTTAGTTTCTCTATTTTTTGTTTGATTTGTCTTCATATTAACATTTAACTTTTATTCATAAAGTTTTTGTGCTTTGTGATATCTTTGGTAGTGATCACTCAGAAATGTCTCAAACATAGAAACAATGTGTTTTGAGCATTTAGCATGTGGTAACGTGAAGATAGATGGTGAAAGTCATTGTATTCCTTGTCTAGGTTTTCATAGTAAATAACACTGGGGTCGACCAAGCAGATGTTCTCAGACTAAATCTTCAATTTTTATACTGATTAGTGTAACTCATTCTTGGGCCAGCTAAAAAGCACCGCCTTCTCTGGGAGAGATTTGAATATATTCATGGTCTTCAGTTGAATCTCTCTGAATTGTCTGAGCTCCCTTAAGGCATTTTCTACTTGGGATGTATCTGTGCCTCCTCCTATGCCCGTACAAGTGTGTCTGTATCTGCATGCGTATACAACATATACCCATTATTCTCTCATAATACACATGCACCCTGATTTAGAGACCTAGCAGCAAAAGACTGCCGAAGCGGGGGTAGCTCCAAGAATCTTGAGGACGGGCTGGCAGTCTAGCCCACCATGACTGTTGAAGTTAAAAAAAAAAAAAGTGAATGAAGGAGGCATTATAAAATCATGACCAACATTGTGTATCTAAAATAAGACTCTGCTTGGTTGCCCAGGACGAACATAAACTCATGTGATCCTCACCAGAAGGTGTTGTTCTGTCTCCCAGAAAGCCATGTAGGTTCCCTGAGAACCCCGCATCGCCCAGGCCCTCCTGATGGCACCGTTCAGCCCCAGAACATTCTCAGGGCTTCTGCCAGGTCCCAGCCACCGAAGCAGTCCTGGGGGAGCTGCTGCAGATAGAGGGGTGCAATGCCCATTGGGACCCAGCTCTTCATATGCTGCAGAGAGAGGGGTGCGGTGCCCGCAGGGACCCAGCTCTTCACACGCTTGCTCTCTGGCTTTGGACAATCACTAAACCTCTCCGAACATCACTTTTCTTATCTTTTTCATGCAGGACAGAGTGGGATTTTGGGTGGAACGGTTGTAAATTGTTCAGACTTCTTGCTGCCAGACATAGGGGTGGCAGCCTGGCCACACATCCAGGCATCCATACATCAGGCTTGGCTTCAGGGTAACGGAGGGAGAAGGTCCTACCACAGACTGACACAGCAGCACAGAGGGTCCAGTTCCATCTGGTTCAGTTTCCAGGGTTGGATTGGGGTTAGGAGTTAGTCAAGCCTGACCCCTGGAGTGGAGCACTGGGCATCCTATGCCAGGTCACTGGCCTGTGATGGGGACTGTGGTAGTGCCCTCTTGGGGACAGCAAGAGCTGTGTTGTTGCAGTGTGACCTTCTGAGGCTGCTTTTGTAGTACCACGTCCCATGTGGTTTTAGCCATGAAGACCAGTGCTCCCGGGGTGCTGACAGCTGCTAATGCTCAGAGCCAGTCAGTCCCTAGGAACCAAGTGCTTTTATAGTGTGCATGCTCTCCAGGATTCACATTCATTCCCTGACAGCCCCCAACACAAATAAATTGTACCCATTTTATGGATAGGGTTAACAGGCTTAGAAGGGCTGAGTAAACTGCCCTGAGAAGAAAGCTGGAACTGAGCAGTGCCACAGAACCTGGCCTTTGGGACAGATGCCGTGGCCAGCGCCACACGTGGCACTCTTCTCCCACTGTACAGCTACCTGGGGGCCCATCATGTGTCCCTGTGACCACAGAGGCGCATCCACTCACCAGAGCATCTTCTCACTGACCCATCAGGAGTTCTGCAGGCCTTACCTGGGCTGTCTGGGTCCCGGCTCTATTTCTGCTTCCTCCAGGTAACTCTTCTCTCGCCTCCCCTCACCCCACAGACATCTCAGCCGAGCCCTGGTGCTCAGTCTTCATGCAGCAGCCAACAGTCCCCCCTCAGCAACTATCCCAACAGTGGGCTCGAGCTTCCTCTGACCGATGAGGGCGGGGTGGGAGACCTCGGCGCCCTCGACGACAGCCCAATCATGGACTCGACCATTTCCACGGCGACCACGGCCCTCGCCCTGCAGGCCAGGAGAAACCCGTCAGGGACCAAGTGGATGGAGCACGTCAAACTGGACAGACTCAAACAAGTGAATGGAATACTTCCACGACTGAACCCCGTCCCCCCACCCAGAGCCCCTGCGGTCACTCCTCTCATCGGAAGTGGTGAGTTCCCTGCTGCCTCCTGTCCTTGTAGGGGCTCCTGTCCCCCCATGCTGCCAGTAGCTTTCCAAGGCCTTCCTCTGTGAGGCCATGAGGGCCACCCCCAGCCCAGGAGGTTCTGGTCAGGCGGGCACTGGAGAGGGGAGGGGAGGGTCTGGGGGCGGGTCCTCCCGGAGCTGGGGTCTGGGGGGTGGGGGTCAAGTCCCTTCCCAGGGCGGGGCCTGGGGGGCGATTCCCTTCCCGGGTCTAGGGTGGGGGGCATTTCCTTCCCACGGCGGGATCTGGGGTTTGGGTCCTCCCGTGTTGGGGTCTGGGGAGCGAGTCCCTCCCAGGGGCGGGGTCTAGGGGACGAGTTCCTTCTTGGGGCAGCGTCAGGGCGTCGAGTCCCTTCCCGGGTCTAGGGGGGGCAGCCCCTTCCCGGGACAGGGTCGGGGGGGGGGGGGGTCGAGTCCCTTCCCGGGGTGGAGTCTGGGGAGCCGGTCTCTTCCCAGGGCGTGGTCTGGGGCAGCGGGTCCTCCTGGAGCAGGGTCTGGTGGGCAATTCCTTTCCCGGGTTCTGGGGTGGGGGGCAGTCCCTTCTCGGGGCGGAGTCTGGGGGTTGCGTCTTCCCAGGTCGGGGTCTGGGGGGCGAGTCCCTCCCAGGGGCGGGGTCTAGGGATCGAGTCCCTTCCCGGGCCTGGGTGGTGGGGCAGTCCCTTCCCGAGACAGAGTCTGGGGGCAAGTCCCTTCCCCGGGGCGGAGTCTCGGGGGGTCGAGTCCCTTCCCGGGGTGGAGTCTGGGGAGCGGGTCTTTTCCCGGGACGTGGTCTGGGGGTGGGGGCGAGTCCTCCTGGAGCAGGGTCTGGGGAGCGATTCCCTTCCAGAGACTGGGGTGGGGGGCAGTCCCTTTCCGGGGCGGGGCTTGGGGGTTGGGTCCTCCCAGGTCGGAGTCTGGGGGAGCGAGTCCTCCCCGGGACAGGGTCTGGGGGACGAGTTCCTTCCTGGGGCGGGGTCTGGGGACGAGTTCCTTCCTGGGGCGGGGTCTGGGGTATGAGTCCTTCCCCAGGGCGGAGTCTGGGAGGCGAGTTCCTTCCCGAGGCGGGGTCTAGAGAGCGGGTCTTCTCGGGCGGGTCCTGGTGGAGGCCTAGCCTGAGCAGGATTTGGGGCCTAGCTCGGTTGGGAGCGACGGGGTACGGGCCGGTCACCACCCGCGGCGGCACTGGGCGCTCTCCGGCCGGTCCCTGACCCCAATCTCCGCCCGCAGGCCCCATGCCCGGAGGCGGCTGCAGCGCGCTGCCCGGCGTGGACATGACGGCGCTGGGCGCGGGCAGCCGGCGGGACAGCAGCGGCAGCACGGCCAGCTCGGCCTACCTGAGCAGCCGGCGCTCCTCGGGCATCTCGCCCTGCTTCTCAAGCCGCAGGTCCAGCGCCGCGTCCCCAGCTGGGCGGCCCCGCGCCAGCGCCGCCGACTCCTACGACCCCATCTCCACGGACGCATCTCGCAGATCCAGCGTGGCCAGCCAGGGGGACGCGCCGGCCGGACCGCTCGGCCTCACGCCCGCGCAGCGCTACCGCCTCCGGGCCAGCTACGCGGCGGCCACGGGCGGACCGCCGCCCACGCCGCTGCCCCCGCTGGCCCGCCTGAGCCTGCTGGACCGCGGCCCCGCGCCCCCCGCGCCCCCCGCGCGCCGCCGCAGCGACGGCGGCCACGGCCCAGCCCGACGCCCCGTGCGCCCAACCAGGAGGGCCAGCGATCCGGCGCGCGGACCCCCGGACCCCGCGCTGCCCCGTCCCGGGCCCCTGGACCCCGCGCTGTCCTTCCCAGGCCCCCTGGACACCGGCCTGCTGGCCCGCCCCGGGCCCTTGGACACCGGCCTGCTGGCCCGCCCTGGGCCTCTGGACACTGGCCTGCTGGCCCGACATGGGCCTCTGGACGCTGCGCTGCCCTGTCCCGGGCCCCTGGACCCTGGCCTGCTGCCCCGACCCGGGCCCGCGGATACCGGGCCCGCAGACGCAGACCTGCTGCCCGACGATGTGCTGCGCTTCCTGCACGCCCAGGGCCTGGCTGCCGGCAAGACCGAGCTGCCCATCCAGTGGAACGAGGTCAGCTCCGGCAGCGCCGACCTGGCCGCCACCGAGCCCCAGTGCGGCCCCAGCAGCGTCCCCTTGCAGCTGCCCGACCAGGCCCCCACCAGCCGCCCGCTCGGGGCCCCGCTGAGCAGCGCCCTGATGCCGCCCGCCGCCCCGGGACACGGGTACGAGGGGACCCTGCCGCAGGGGGCGGGCCGCGCTGGGCCACCGGGGATCGGGCAGATCGGTGCCACCGCCCTCGCCAGTACCTATCCAGATGGCGGCCTGCCGGGCCTGGCCAACGGGAGCAGCCACCTCTCGGGCTGGGCCGTGTCCAGGGGCTACCAGCCGTGTGTGAGCTATGGAAGCAGCTGGCGGCAGGCCGGGCCCAGGGCCGGCCTGTCCCTCGGCGACACCAGTCAGCCCTGCAGGGTGAGCGGCATCAAGACGGAGGCACCGGCAGCGCCACTGCTGCGCTGCCCCGGCCTGCAGGGCTACTCCGGGCAGTTCTACGGCCAGGCCGAGGGCTTCTGTCAGCAGGACATGAAGGCAGCTCCCTTCTGCGTCCCGGAAACCAGCTGCCTGCTGGAGGGGAGCAGCTCTGAGAGCGCCGAGCTGCTGTCCCCAGGGTCTAACCAGGTGACCAGCACCGTGGATGGCCTGGACAGCCACGACCTGGAAGGGGTGCAGATCGACTTTGAGGCCATCATCGATGACGGGGATCATGCCAGCCTGATGTCGGGAGCTCTGAGCCCGAGTCTCATTCAGAACCGCTCGCACAGCTCCTCCCGCCTCACCACGCCGCGGGTGGCCCTGCCACTGCCCGCGCTGGCCATGAGTGCCACCAACATGGCCATCGGGGACATGAGCTCTCTGCTGACCTCCCTTGCGGAGGAAAGCAAATTCCTTGCAGTGATGCAGTAGGGCGGAGGACTGCTGAGAGCAGCCAGGGGAGATGGAGCGATGGGGACGGTTCAGAGTCTGGGTGTCTGTCTCTGTGTAATTTAGCAATCTCATCTCACCTACCTGGGATGTGTTTCAAGTATATTCCTTTTATGGAAAAGGACTCTGAAAAACCCTAAAGTATTCTAGGGAGAAACTGTCTTCCATTTCATTTTGAATCAGTATTGCTAACTGAAATGCCCTCTGCTTTGGAGACCCTGAGCCTGACCCTGTTTGCGAGCCAGTGTGGTGGCTGTGCGTGCCCTTTGTCCTCAGGAGGGCCAGTGGACAGAGTGGCCCCTCCTTCTGTTGAAGGAAGCATAAGTTGGTACACTGGTGACCAGTGGGTCACTCTGACAGCTTCTAGATGTTTATTCACACAGGCCCGGCATGCTTTGCTTTTTGAGTTGTTGTTTCTTTTAACTCCCAAGTAGGGCACGAAAATCAGACTATGGATAAATGGGTTGTGATTAAGTCTCCAGTGGGTGTACCGAGGCCGGCCTGGATGTCAGTGTGACACGCTCTTCCCTGACCTCCACACCCCAGGTCAGGTCAGGCTCCCTCCCATGGCTGCATGCAGCTAGAAACTAAGGGCTCTTGCAAATGAGAAGGGTCACTCGCAGCTGGGGCTCGCCCATCTTTTGTCCATCACTGGGCTGGGGACGGCCATGTCTGTCTGGTTCTATTATCTCCCAACCTCCTCTTGGTCAGCCCCGGCCACTCAGACAACACTCTCCCTTCCATTTTCAAGAAGGTGCTTAGACTGTAGGTCACAGCATTGGGTAGCAGTAGTCTTGGGAATATATGTGGGCTTCTATATTTGTTGAATAGTTCTATCTCTTTCCCCATTATCCTAGGTAACTGAGAATTGATTATATATAGTTCAAAGTATACAAGTATTTAAATAATCCCACAGGCAACCATGTCATTTACCTCTATTAATTCTATAGTGAAGGAGTACTTTTATTTTAAGCACCCTATTTTGAGGGATTTATAAAACTTAGTTATAAAAGGGAATGCGCACTTCCATTTGGAATAAATTGCTTCTGCCACTCCCAGTATTTAAACATGCGAGAGTGTGCTTGCTAGCTTTGTGAATGCCTTTTTGGGTTTTTACATTCTAACCATTCACTGCTGCAGCAGTTAAAGAATTATATGCTCTGTGCAGTTAGTCCTTAATGTGGACTAACATCTATACTTTTGTTTTGAACTAAAACATTTAGAGATTTTAAAACTACAGCTACTTATCATGTGCAGGTGATACACATAAAAGACATACGATGCATGCACAGAGTTCATGGATCACCCAGCATTTTACACTTAAAGATACTCATTCTATTTAAATATTAACATGTCAGACTCTGCTATACTCTGTTCACTTGGCCCTGGAGTTGGATTTATCCAAAATGATTCATAAGCAATCGTGTGGCTTCCCTTCCTCATCCCACCCCCAACATTCTTTCTGCCACTTATTAGAAACATTATGTATTAGAAACATATATTATTTCTGCCACTTTTACAGTTAAGTAAAGTAAAATACTAGGAAATAGCAATGCTGTTCGGGTAAGCCCATTGTTCTATGTCCATATTATTTCATTTGGACCAAGAGTCTCAGCATTGATGTAAATTGGTCCTTTGGGACTTTGAGGTAAAGACAGTTGGGTTTGCTTTCAGGTTGATGGATCATCAGAGGAATGCTGAGATGCTCCTTCCCCATCCCCAGCATCCCCATTATCCCCAGCCACCACACACACACACACACACACACACACACACACACACACGCACTCACACAAGCACAGAGCAACTTCTCTTCGATCTGCATTTCCCACATTGGGTGGCACTTCCCCTCTCCCCAGGGGCCACTGGAGCCATCCAAGAGGGTAATAATGCTCTGGGTGGGACTGGGGACATTTCTGTTTGTTTCCTTAAAGATGGTAGATTTCCAGTTTTCTGAATGGGCAGTTAACCAAGTAAGTGTGGGGACCTCTCCTTTATATCAAAAGGTTCACTTGCTTTGGAACAGCCCCCAAAGCCAAAAATACTTGCTGAGATGTGCTTAATAGGGTCAATCTACCACTCTCCAGCTTAAAAAAAAAAAGGCCTTTTCTCTGTTTCCCAAGTAAGTGATCCAGTTTTGAAAAAACCCAAGATCCATTCCCCGAATCTTGTTTTCCTCCCTGCCCTGTTCTCCCAGGTGTTCTCTTCTGGTTCGGCACAATCCTTCCTGCCTTTCTTCCAGGCTCCTTTCCTGAGAGCAGCCATTTGGGACCTGACTCGTGGGCCCCTCATCTCCTTCATGGAAGAATTGCTGGTGGTCCGGACCCGCACGTTGTCATCTTGTACCCCTGCCTTCTTCTTTGGTTCCAGGCAATGCTTGAGGTCTCTGCCTTTCTCTTCTCTTTTTGTCTGCATTTTAGTTTTGTTGCTACTACATTTTGATTTGCAAGAGATGCTTCAGCTTCATGTTTAGCATCTTCTCTGCAAATTTCAGAAGGATGGAGAAGAGGATAAAAGAAGAAAGTAGGGACTGGAGCCATAGTATATCAGGTAGAGTGCTTGCCTTCCATGCCTCCGATCAGGGTTCAATCCCTAGTGCCCCATATGGTCCTGTGAGCCCATCAGGAGTGATTTCTGAGAGCAGAGCCAGGAGTTACCCCTGAGCACAGCTGTTTGTGCCCCCTCCAAAAGAGAGAAGAACAAATGCTCTTTTGGGGGTTCAGTGGTCTGTCTTTGGGGCAGCTGAGCAGTGTGCTGTCTGGATATGGAACTCTGTAGACATCACACCTCCTATTCTGTCCCCACCTTCCCCTGCTTCTCTGACTTTGCAGTCAGGGGAAATTGTGCTAAATATCACAGCCTCCCTTGTAAATGAGGATTCATACATGGTACGTCTGTTTCAGATCTGTGTCATGGTACTTCCGTTTTAAGATCTGTGTTAAAAGTGTTTTTGTCAAACCATTTTGTTTCTTTTCTAAACAATGAACTAGACTGCCCCAGCGCCTCACACATTGGCTCACCCTTTTGAGCTGCTGAGTTTTGCTTCCGGAGATGTATGTGCCTTATTTTATGTTAATCTTGTCTATACAAGGGACCATTTGGTGTCGTCCAACCTGAGCTTGAGGCTGCACTCACTGGCCCGGCCACTGTTGGTAGCAAGTCTGAGCTCGCTGTCCTGTGACCAGGTTGCCTATGTTCTGACCTGGTAGAACGATGTCTTCTGACACTTACTGTTGTGTATCATGCTGACATGTAAGATAAAACCAACTTTGTTTTTCCCACCTTTTTTAGAACTTTAAAAATAAAATGTGTAATCCTTTTTTTAAAAGATATACATGTAAATACATTTAAGTATCGTAGGCCTAGTATTTGGACATGGCAGGCCCTGGGCCTTCCTCCATCAGTCAGTCAGTGGCTGCCACAGTGCCACATAAAGCCCAGGGCTGCTGTCCCACCACCAAGGGACTCAACTCTTGCTTTCAGAACCACTTAGTCCTTTTGTAACAAAGAGAAAAAACCATGTTTCTTACTATGTCAATTAAAAAGTTCTTTGTACCTAACTGTTTGCTGGGTTATGTCTTTAATTGGAAGCTGAGTGGAAGGAGTGCTTTATCTGGTGAACTGCAGCCTGGGCAGAAGGCGACATTTTCTACCCAAAAACTGGATTTTTCTCTTAACTCTAGATTGTAGAATATCTAACAGCTTCCCCCCTTCCACATATTGGAGCTAGAACTGGAACAGAAACTGACAGGGAAGCCTGCTTTGATGTGGCTGAGTGGATTCCAAAGGGAGGCAAAGCCCCGGTGCCCTGGGAGAGCCCAGTTGAGGACACTGCTTGTGAAGGGAGGGACAGAGTCTTGGTAATGGGCATCCTAACTGTGTCCTGCATGTGCCCACACACAGACAGGACACACATTATAGGAAACCTCTGTCCTGTGATCCAACTTCCTTCACTTTCAAAACTTGATCCTTTGTATAAGGTGACCACGTGGATTCAAAAAAATTGAGAAGAGAGAGTTGATCTTGTTATAGGTATACACTGCCTCCTTGCCACAATGCCATGTGCATCCGAAGAAAATGAAGAGAAATTAAGCAAATAGAAGGAAAAGGACATGAGGCATCCCCAGCATGAAATGCCAGTGGATTTATGGGCTTCTCTGTAAGCGGAACAAGTATGACCTGCAATTTTATTTAAAAGTCTCCCTGAAGGAGAGAAGTGAAATGCAAGGTCAAAGAGAACATTTGCAGCTCCTTTGAGATTTCATAAAAATTTATTTTAAATCATTCTGAAAATTCAAAGATATGACCTATTACCCAAGTAAGAATAAATAGAATGCTAGAATAAGATGGAAAAATTGAGGCACTGCCAAAATGTCGTAGTCACCTATCATGCCTCTTGGGTTTTCTCTTTGTTTCCTGGGCATATCATCTCTTCAGTTTGGCTTTGTAGTATATTTAATATCCCAAACATAATCGGGGGTCGTGTTTCCTTTAACATTCCCTCTTAGTGAAGAGGAGAAGGTGGCTCCAAGAACATATTTTGTTTATGGAACACGAAACCCCACAGTGAATTGTCCCTTATCCTCAGCACAGCCAGATGTGACAGATACATAAATGCATTAAAAATAAAGTAGATTTAGCTTTAGGTTTTAGGGGCTGGAGCGATAGCACAGCGGTAGGGCGTTTGCCTTGCACGCAGCCAACATGGCTGACCCGAGTTCGATTCCTCCGCCCCACTCGGAGAGCAGGGCAAGCTATCTCGCCCGCACGGCAGAGCCTGGCAAGCTCCCCGTGACGTATTCGATATGCCAAACACAGTAACAACAAAGTCTCCAATGGAGATGTTACTGGGCCCGCTCGAGCAAATCAACGAACAACGGGAGGGCCTTTACCTTTTAGCTTTAGGTTTTAAAACAGCATTTTACCAACCTTTATGTTGGGCTGGAGCGAGAGCACAGCGGGTAGGGTGTTTGCCTTGCACA